TGCAGTATAGCACCAATGAAACACACAACTTTCTTCTAATTCTTCAATGCTTCCTTCCCCCCACTATGGTCTAAGAAGATGCTTTTTTAATAGTGATGTTTTTAGATTTACTGAGGCTTGCTTTGTGGCCTAATATATGGTCTATTCTGGATAATGTTCTATGGACACTTGAAAAGAATGTATCGTGTGTTGTTTTGGGTGGGGGTGCTCTGTATAATGCTATCAGGTCAATTTGGTTGATTGTGTTGTTCAGTATTTATGTGTCTTTGTTGAGTTAGTTGTGTTATCCTTCATAAAAAGTGGTGTATCAACATCTCTTACAATTATTGTTGCATTGTCTATTTCTCTCCAATTCTGTAAGAGTTTGATTAGTGTATTTTGAGGTCATTTCATTGAATGTTGTGTTTATCTCCTTATATTTAATTGACCCTTTAATCATTATACATTGCCTTTCTTTGTCTCGTGTATTGAGTTTTACCTTAAAGTCACATATTTTTACCAACAAATCATGTTCCTAGTTCCTAAGACAAATTCTAGGCTACCATAGAAACAGCTTATCTATATATGTGCTCATTCTCAGGGGGAGAGAGGAGCCCTTGGGCCAGTAGGAGAGCAAGGTACTAAAGGATGCTATGGTGCCAACGGTCCTAAGGTAAGAGTTGCATAAGATATTGTGAGATGTCCTCAGTATTCACTTGATTTTTTCCCTACACTAAACACCATCGTCTTTCCTATTTTCAGGGAAACAGGGGATTCACAGGACAGGAGGTATGTTTTCAGACATGGACATTTATCTGACCATCTGTTATCTAGAAGTTTTTGAGATTGGTGGCCAGTAGATAGTCAAACTGAAGTTTCTGTTGTAAACATCATTTTTTATTCATCTTTTAAAAATTACTAGCCTTTCCTTTATTCCTACCTTTGATTACAAATGATGGATCTCATTAGTTGACAGTTTCAATTACTAAGTAGTCCTTGATATTACCCAAAGCCAGCTTAACAATGAAGTATGGAGAGCAGAAAACGAGTAAACATGTTTTTTGTGTGGTGCTGTGCTTCTTTTCACGTAATGGGGAGTATCCTGGTCTGATTTTATCTGTCTTTTTAGGGAGGAATCGGGGAAAGTGGACTTTATGGATTAAGTGGAGAACAGGTAAAGTCTTCTCCTTGCACCACAGGGACCCGTCTGAGTGATTTCCCATTGCAACAGCGGAACTCTGACGCTGTCTCTGTCTCTCTTTAGGGTGATAATGGCCTTCCTGGAAGAAAAGGAGAAAAGGGTGATGCAGGGTCCCAGGTAAGGGTTGAAGCAAAGGGACACAACAGATTAACAGACTAGACTCAATTGCTACAAACTTTTTGTGTAATGAGCAACTGCAAAGCTTCCGTTACATAAAGAGATAAATACGTCGTTCCTTAGAGTCTAGGGAGTTCTGCTAGTCTAGGCTGACCATAATTCATGTGTCTGCAGAGAACTAGTCTGGACCTGTTGGTCATACCCTTTCCATGGATGTAGTAGAAACACAACAGCATAAGAGACACTGTGGCCTCTTAGAATCTAGGCTTGCAATGTTTACACCGACTCTTCTATCTCTTTCTCTGGCGATGCCAAGTTATAGGGTCAAATGCAGGGGTGAAAATTTTTGCCCAGACACAGTGGTTAGTGTTACTTGCCATTGGACCAGTGAAAACTCATGACATCCCATATGTGTGGGGCAGAACTGAGCTCCAAGGTTCTTTCCCGGTTTTGCCTTTTCGGAGGCAGTTCCGGGGCCTTGCTTTCCGTAAATCTCTGGGTGGTTTCAAACCTCCAATTTTGGGGCTAGAAGTTAAGTGCTTAACCAATTCCACCACTCACAGGCTCCTTGTCACAGTAGGGAAGCACTAAAAAATGGAGAATCGGGACCATTAGTGAAAAGCAGCTACTACACTAAGGGCAGGAGTAAGAGATGCTGCAGGGGTCTACAGAGCAGGGCAGCACAGTGATTCTCGCAGGCCCTAATTCCCATCTAGAACAAATGCCACCTGCAGCCACACTTCCTCCATCGAATTGATCTGTTTTTTAGAGTGTGAACAGTCGAATCAAAAACCCACTTTCTACTTAACACACCACCATGGGAAAAATTGGCTAGTCTTTCTGAATTGCAGCTGCCTCACTAAAAGAAACAGAATAAGCCATGTGTGGTTCATAAAACACTTATAAAGATTAAACACAGTAGCAGATGTATCTATACCTCAGATTTTACCCCTGGAGCAAATAATTGAGGTCACACTTAAACGATTCATATGATGCTTGAAGTGAGCCTTGGTTTTTCTTTCCAGTTTAAAAATAATGAATCTTAGTAGGAAAAAAAAGTTTAATTATTCAAAGCTGGAAATAACAAGTGCTTTGGTCGGTTTGTTTGTGTCTGTTAATTTCAGTTAACCAAAAAATTCTTGCCCTGTTCTTACCGTAATTTATTTTCACTGTAGGGCAGCCCGGGCAAGAGAGGGCTTTCTGGAGACACTGGAGCAAAGGGCCTGAGAGGAGATCCCGTAAGTACCTGGGATGGGTGGCCTGTGGGTCGGTTTGGACTTGCGCTCATCAACGCTTCTGATAGGGCGACAACAACAACAGCCATTGCCGGGAAGTCAATCCCAGCTCGGGACAGCCCCAAGTGGGACAGAGTGGAAGTGCTCCGGAGGGTCTTCACAGGGGGCAGATCATCAGGTCCTCCTTTCCTGGAGCCTTTGTGGGGGTTGGTCTCCAGCCTCTCCGTCAGCAGCCAATCCCACTGAGAGATAGCCCCATGTCTTACAATAGCCAACCTGAATTTAAGTCACAGGCACCATTGTTGTAGCATTTTAAACCCGAGCATCTGGCACCAGCCCTGCCTCTTCCTGTCCCGGGAGAGTATGGACAAGGGGAAGCCCTGGCACTTCATTTGCATGTGTTCTTTTTTTGAGACCATCTATTCAGAAGGGTCCTTGAAACTATGGAGGAATTTCAGACCTTTCCACCATGTTCCTTCTGAGCGCCTCAATATGTGGAATGAATGGAAGAAAAAAAAGTCACTCCTTTTTTGCTATTCTCCACAAATCTTTCTCTGGTGAAACTATTAGCTTCATTTCCCTGAATCCAATCAACTGGGACTATGGCAGGCAAAACTAATGACACCGGGGAACCGGCGCCCACAAGTTGAGCATGTATAGTCCACACGAAAAGAATACAGACACCACTATCAGGTTGTCACCAGGCCCACCCGGAAATAGGCCTCCAAAACTTGCCTGAATGAATGAATGAACACTCCCGTTTGTTGTTGTCATTGTTTTTGATAATTTTATTTTGGTGAAAAAATTTTTTTTCAAGAGTGCCATTTTTAAATGTACAGGTCGGTGACATTCATTACATTCACCATACACTTAGGTTCTGTTAAAAGCATTTATTGGTGGGCTGTCGCACACATCAGAAAGGCGCAATGTTAAATGCTCAGCTTGCTGAATGTGAAAACACCTGTGCAGCCACCATTCACGTCAAAAAGCAGCACCTTTCCAACTCCCTCAGAGCCCACTGGCCCTCTCCTGTTGCCACCTTGCCTCCCCTAGAGGATCATTGTCCTAACGCCACAAATTAGTTTTAGTCATTCTTGACCTTTATTAAATGGATTCATATAAGATGTACGCTTCTGTTTCTGGTTTCTTTTGTTCAACTTTACGCTTAGGAGATTCATTTCCAACAATAGTTTTTTTTTTCTCATTGCTGGAGTAGTCCGTTATGTGACTGTACCAATATGGATTTACCCCTTACCATCTTGATATGTATTTGTATGGTTCCCACAAACTGCTGTTAGAAAGAGTACCTCCATGAACATTCTTGTGCCTGACTTTTGGTACACATATGTACACATTTTCCCAACAGTTTTATTATGGGTATGCAATTCACATATCATACAATTCAGTAGTTCAGTCACACCAGGGAGAATTGTACAATTGTCACCATAATTAGTTTTAGAACATTTTCTTCATTCTTGTCCTCATTGTTAATAGCTCACCTTTCCCCCCAACCTCCCCTGCCACACCACAGGAACCACTAATCGACTTACTGTCTTTATATAGTTACCTCTCTTGGATTTCAGATACAGAAAAGCATTTTTCTTAAAACCTCAAACTAACAAAAAGAACAAAGTAACACAGATAAAAGCCTCAATGGAAAAGAAAACAAACAATATTGAAAACAAGAACAAATTTAAATGGATCGTAAGGGAGATCAAATGATTGGGTGCTAACATTTAACTGCATCTATAACAATCCATTTCATATGTCCACATTTTTACTGGATATACAAGGATAACTCAAACAGTATTGCTACTAGAGTCCCAAGCCATACTCCTGCATGCTGGGACTTGTTTGAAACAAATTGTGTTTAAGCAGGTCTTTGTGATCACTGGTAACTGCAGACCAACCGGCTCCCTCAGTCATACACTTGTTCTTAGTCTCGATAGAATGTCTCCAAAGAAGAGGTCCCATCAAAACGGTGGCTTTTGAAGAGATCCACTGGGTCAGTTTAATTCAAGCCAGAAGGTTTGGGCAACTACAGGTTACAAAGGGGTAGTCTTCACAGATTTCCTTGAAGGACACAAGACAATCACAGGGATTTATTAGGAAGAAATTCTTACAAATTGAAAAGCCCACTGATGAGAAAGAGACCAGGACATTTGTTCTAAGGATTTTGTTTCCCACCACAACAACTCACCTGCTCGTTCTTCAAAGGTAGCAAAGAACGTCCTATGAGAATTTCATCGGGAATGAAATCCAGGACCAGAGGAAGGAAGATATTAGAACTTAAATTCTAAGCTCCCAATTTGCAGAAGGCTATAGATGACAGTGAAGTTTCACATGAAGCCCCAAATCCATTTTCAGGGTCCTCAGGTGGATTAAGCTTCCAGAGAGCATCTTCTCCGACATAAACTAGGGCTAGGTCAATGTAAATAGCCTTGCTATCCAACAGAGCGCATTGAAAAGTGGATTAATAATGATACAATTAGGTTAAAGTTTAGTGCCCTATTATTTGTTCTCCCTTCGGACCCACTTGAAATTTGTTCTACTTTCTAATATTTTCTATTGAGAGTTTTCTGTTTTGTTATTGTTCAGGGATTTTTTGTTTGTTGGTTGGTTTGTTTGTTTATCTTGGATTTTAAAAACTTTTTTTGTATGTTTTTCTCTATATAGAATCCAGGAGAGACAGGAAATCTATAGAGACAGTAACTAGACTAATAGTTTCTTAGGGTTATAGCAGGAGAGGCTGGGGAAAACAGGGAGCTATAATATGAGGGAAAAACTGTTTTCAAACTGATTGTGGTGATGATTGCACAACTTATTTTAATATGACTGAAAATTTTAATCATATGGCATATGATATGTCAATAAAAATGTTTTTTTTATTTTTGAAGGATTTCATTAGGAAATTTACCCCATCCACCCTATAGCCCCAGTCTTGCCACTTTAGACGTCTTTATTTTTTTAATAGTTTTATTGACATATAATGCATATACCATGCAGTTTAATAGTTCAGTCATATTAAAAAGAGCTGTATAACCATCACCGCAATCATTTCTAGAACATTTTCTTCTTTCTTGTACTCATTGCTATTAGCTCCCATTTCTCTCCCTCCTCCCCTGCCATGCTCCCAATATGGCATTAATACACTGACTGTCTCTACAGATTTACATATTTTGAATTTACATACTGGGAAACATACAAAAGAAACAGGAAATAACAAAATAAACCAGACAAAAATCTCAACTGAAAAGAAAGCAGGAAAGATTAAAAACTAGAACAAATTTAAAATGGGTCAAAAAGGGAGATCCAATGGGAATGTATTACCTTTTAACCTCACTATATCCGCTACAATGGAGTTTATAATGCTCTCTGTCTGATAGCAAGGCTATTCATAGCCCTCAACTACGGTCAGAGGACCCTGATAATGGGTTTGGGGCTTCCACTGACATCCATAACCTTCTGCAAGCCAGCTGTTCACAACTGGAACTCTGATACCATTCCCCTCCTTAGGATTTGGACTTTATTATTTATGATCCTTGGTTCACACTTGAAGAATATTAAAAAGGAACCTTTGAGTCCCTGCAGGATATCAAAACTGCCATATTGAAGTGGTGTAACCGAAAGAGCTCAACATTTTCTGGGAAGGACGGGAGAGGTTGAAACATTACATTCTGAAGTGTATAGATATAGTCTAAATGAAGTCAATGTCAATAAACAGTAGCTTACATGTTGATGTTTGTGTGTTTTGTAAGGTTACTCTGATTTTGTAGCAATGTTTTTTGACTCACCCTTATGTACTTAGGAGTAGAATTTCTGAATCATGCTGTTTATGCATGAATATTCAGCTTGACTAGTTACTGTCAAAGAGCATTTCAAAAACTTTGTTTGAATTTACATTCCCTCACCCATGTATGAAAGTAATGTGTTACACACCCATCAGAATGATTAAAGCTTTTTCAGAACTTATAGTAAGTACCAAGGGCTGATGAGAGTATGGAACAACCGGGAATCTCAGATCTAAGCTGTAAACAACTTCTCCTCCAGGATACAGCCTGTCAGTCAGAGAAACAATTCAATGCAATATCAGATGTTAAATGCACATGTGAATTGCATATTAAAGATAATTTTATTTAAAAGCCGAGAAATTGACAGTTAAGGATGACATTGTTTACTTAAGGGCAATCTCCTAATAATAGTCTGGTGATCTGAGAGTTTTCAAGCAACATCAAAACTATCTAATTTAGAAACAGAAAAACAAGCCAAGAACAAGGATCATGAAGAAATCAGAGATCAAATAGAAGACATTTTAGCCATCTGCATATGGTGACCATTTGGGGGTTGTTTAGGGTTACGTCTTGTGGGGTCTTATCGTGCAATTGCCATTCACTCTGACCAAAACTGCCCTTAATTTGTCCACTAGAAAATGTGATTATATAACAAATTTCGCAGTACTGAATCATGTGCATTTTTTTAATTAGCAATTTAAACAGAAATGTTCTATGAACTCAAAATAGTTGGAAAACCAATCCACTCGAACTTCTATGTGAAGGCTTTTTGTTACAACGCTCAAGTTTAGAGGGCTTTTCCTTTTGTGGCATTCTTCCTACCGACTTGAGAACATAGGTCTCAAATCTGTTCTTTTCTATGTGTGGTGAGAGTGAGGTTGATGAAATAAATACAGATGCACACTCACGGAACGGGGACATAACGTGGGTCAGGGTACGCATAGGAAGGTAAGCGAATGGCACAAAGTCCTGAAACTTCAAGTTCATTCAGGAAGGATTTCTATCCCATGAAGGCTACTGTAGATCCTGTATTTGCAGTCATCCAATCTGAGCTGAAGAGAAGGAAATCTCACATAATGTTGAGGGGAAACTGAACCAGACAGTTTGTTTGATTTATAGAAGGTGGAAAGAGACATTGTTCTAAAGGAATTTAGTACTTAGTATTAGAAGCCCACCTGTCCTCATAAATTTGCACTCAATTATTCTCTTTTGTCCAGTTGCACAGAAATCAAAGGACAATCCCATCAGTTAAAATCCAGACCAACCAAACAACTTGTTCCCATGCAAATTGGTTCATTCTCTTCCATAAAAGGTGCTGATTAATTATTCCTTTTGATATCACCTCCTTGATGAAGTAGCTCAAAGTTCAACTACAATGATGGGATTTCATAGTCAGTGGAATAATATTCTGGACTTTATACTACCTTCCTTTTCCTGACCCACCTTTCTTTGTAAATTAAGTCTACCCTGCTTGAAGAACTTAATAGACCAATCTTTAAATTTAAGGGGAAAATGGTATATAAGAAAATTCTTGGCTTTCTGTATGTTAGGAAAAGAAATGCATTTTCACATAAATGTTATTAATATTGGTTATATTAAGTAAACCCTAGGTCCATTTTTAAGCTCCTATAAATCCTTTAAGTGCAGAAACTTTTTGTTTAAATAGCTCACCAAGTATCTGGAGCAACGCTGTGTCCCTGTTGGTGATCTCAAATTGCTTATTGATTGATAAAGTTAGTCTGGGCAGCTATCGGCCAGAAAGCCAGGCAGACAGCACTCAGCGGGAGTGGAAAATTGCTGTCTCTCTCAGTTTATTGGCGTATGGACCGAACTGACTGGATCAATCGGTGGCCTTGCCCTTGTGGAGACAAGGCTCTATTTATGGCCCTAACTCTCTGAGTTAGAAAGCCCTCAGTTTGGTCGGCAAACGATCATCCATCCCACAATGTGCACTTGTTTTTCAATAAGTTCCTGATGGGCTATTTGAATCAATATTCACGGGGGTGGAGGAGATCCAGGAGTTTGTGAAGACGGAGAGAGAGAAAGTCGAGGTGAGTAAATAGGGATAGCTAGCCGGAACGAAATGAGGGATTGGAGGTGAGGGATAGCCTCAGTATGACTCCTGTACTTCCGTGACGGTTACAAACTTTTTCTTTGTCCCAAGGGTAGGTGAGAGTAAAACCTACCAACCCTCAACGATACACTAGGTCGCAAAGAAAAAGACTGGAAGCAGAGAGAAGGAGAGGCAATGGCAAGAGGGGCCCCTCTGGGCCCAGAATAAGAATCACCATAAGCACAAGTCATTGTCACCCTGGCTTCCCTTGGCGGTGCCTTCTGCAGAGAGTGTTAGCTCTCTCTTCACACACTCACGTTGCACCTCCATGTTACTCCTGGTAATGCAAAGGGCAGGAGGAGAAGAGACACGGCCAAGCCGTTTGTGATTTCAGCCTAAGAAGGAGGCCAGTGAAGAACTGACGTGTTTGGATTACGGTGCTGGCAAAGACTCATGCACCGACCCTGGGCTGCCAGGAGAGCATGTCTTGGAGGCAGTTCAGCCAGAATGCTTCTTGGAAGAGGGGCTGGTGAGATTTCATCTCACATACTTTGAGTATGTTCTCAGAAAAGACGAGTCCCTGGAGAAGGACATCATGCTTAGTAGAGAATCAGCCAAAAAGAGGAAAGCCCGCAACAACAAGACAGATTGACACAGTGGCTGCCACAATGCTCTCAAACACAACAACCGTTGTGGGGGTGCCGCAGGATCGAGCAATGTTTCATTCTGTTGCACTTAGGGTAACGATGAGTCGGAACCAATTCGACAGGCACCAGTTTGCGACAACACTACTGTCAAATACTAGGTTGGGACTCTCGTGTTAACTTCCTTTGGGGTGATAAAATGTGTTTAATCTATCACATTTTTAAGAGCAGTGTTCAAAATACATTAATATTTCTCTTTATTGTCTATGTTTAGGGAGTTCCTGGACTTGATAACACCATACAAGGATCCAGGGGCTTGAAAGGAGAGAACGGAAGGCAGGTAATTAATGATGTGGACATGTAAACAGAGGCTTTTAAAAAGATGGGGCTCGTGTACTTCCAAACTCGACGAAATTCACTGCCCACGAATCGATTCCAACCCCTAACGATCATATAGGACCGCACGGAATGGCTGGCTCCTGTGAGTCCCTAAACTATAACTCTTTATGGAAGCAGAAATCTAGTGATTGTGAGTTGCAACCTTGCAGTTAGTCGGCCAACTCTAAATGTGTGGTGACTTGACTCACCAAACCATATTCTGGAGGTCTTCATTTATGAATGCAAATATTTACATCCTAACTTGAGCAGCTTTCTGATAGGCCTATGCTGCATCAAGAGTTTTGCCCTTCCCATTATCCTAAGCACAAAACCTAAAAAGGCGTTAAAGGTAGCACGTGGTAGGAAGTGCTGATAGATCTGTCTGGTCCACATTGTATGGCCCACACGCTAGAGGTAAGTCCCTTAGGATTAATCTCATGACTCCTGCAAATCACAGCTGGTGTTGTGGGATAGGCATCGTGCTGCTAACTACAAGGTTGATGGTTCAAACTTAGCAGGGAGTCTGAGAAGTCAGATGGGCTTGTCTGGTCCTGTAAAGAGTCATGGCCTCAGAAACCTTGTATGGGACCATTATGAGTGGGAACCGACTCAATGACAGTGAATTGGGGTTTGGTTTCATTTTTTAACCAGTTTTTCAGAAATTATAAACATGGCCGTGTACCTGCAAAATGCGTGTCTGTATCATCTGGATTAGGAAGTTTCCTCTATGACACCACGGAGGGAGGAACTCTGATTCAGGAGAAGGAACGTTCCTGGGGGCAGACTCTGTAGCGCTACCTCATGCTCTGCCCCCTCACCAGCTCTGGAGTCTTGAGTCTCTTCCTGGAAACCTTGATTTTCTCATTTGCAAAGTAGGATGAGTAGGCTCCTTTCAAAGGGTTATTGTGGGGATTCAGTGACCCAGTCTGTCCTGCCATAAACATTCAGTAGATGTTACCTGCTGTCGTTCCATCAATGATATAAGTCTTATTGCATAGAAATGACTTCCTCCTTTTATATACTGGGAAGACTTATGAGTACAATAAGATTTATTCCTAGGAGCGATCATCTATAAATTAGCCAAAAGGAACAAGAAATCCAAAGGTAGAAATTCACAATGACAGTTACCATATCCCTATGGGTACCAGGCTTCAATGAACACATAGCCTGTGTATCAACACGGTGGTCCACACATGCCTATGGCATGTATCCCAAACTCAAGTCGGTCAGTGGTTAGGACTCCACAGAGGGAAGGGCTCAGATTCAGTAGAGAGAACCTTTCGTTGGGGACAGACTTTTAGGTCCTGTCTCATGCTTTGCCCCTCACCAGTTCTGTCCCAATGAGGCCATGCCATGGCATTTTTGTCATGCCATTCTTCATTGTTCCAGAAGAGATGTCACTGCTGACCACTGGAAGTAATGCCGTGTTCCAAAGGGAAAATAACTCTGTCTTTGGCACATACCCATCTATCCTCCATACAACACCACCAGTTGATATTCAAGAGGCATGTGTCCACGCTGTGGCAATAGTGTTCCACATCTGCTGCTTCCTTTCACAGGGGAGAAGAGGATGGCCGGGCCCCCCGGGAACACCAGGCTCCAGGAGAAAGACAGTAAGAGTCATTCTAACTGAGGAGATTGCTCCGCTAGCTTACTATGTGATGAAAATGGTTGATCGTGGGGAGTGGGTGGGATGGTACCACTACTTTGGAAAAACTGACTTAAGAGAGAGTTCTCAGAAAAGGGCTGGCAAAGGTCTTGGAGAGACAACCCATGCAGTTAGGGCAGGAAGGCTCTGAGTTCAGGGATAATTATCAAGAAGGAGAGAGAGGTAGGCAAAGAGGACAAAACAGTAGCCAACGAGAAAAGTGGTCCAAGCCTGACAATGCACTCGGCTAACTGAGGTTGCCAGGGGAGAGAAGTCCAAAATCCACTTGTCTGCCAGTTCTCATGACTAGTTAGAAAAGTCAGCCCTGGTAGAGTCATAGCAGTGAATGAAATTGGATTGCTTGTTGATATAGTCCTTTGGGATTATTTGTTTGTTTAACTTGCTCTGCTGTTATTTTTGCAAGCATACTTTAGAAAGTGTAACTGTGTTACTTAGAAAAATCACAGCGAGTACGGAAGAAAATGGTATCCAATAATAATAATGATAACATTCCTGAAATGTACTTAAATGCCCACTTGAGGGTCTAAATTAGACTTGTCTTTTCTTGTTTTGCGAAGAACTGGTAGTGCTGTGGGGTAAGCACTGGGCTGCTAACCCAAGGTCGACATTTCAAAACCACCAGCTGCTCCACAGGAGAAAGATGAGGCTGTCTGCTTATGTAAATAGTTAGAGCCTCATAAACCCTATACAGGGTCACTATAAGTCAGAATAGACTGGATGGCCGTGGATTTTTCTCACTTTTCAATATTTATTCATTTAGTTTATTAACCAGGCTTCATTGATTTCTTCTACCTCCTCCCTACCCACCTCCCAAAATATATGTTTTTAAATGGAGTACAAGTAAAAATGGGCTTTGCACGTTGCAGCTACGATAAAGCATTGTATTTTCTGAGCAAGAAAAGAAAAAAGTTCATGGTCAGCTATTTTCACCCCACCAATAAAATATTTTGGAACACACTTCCTTCTTCGTTTCAAGGCATAGAAAAAAAGAAGAGTAGATTATGCTTAAAAGGGACACACGTTTCTTGTGGAAAAGCACTTTACTGGTTATATTTTAAGGCCTCTAAATATAAAGAAATGCATTTGCCCCTCATTTATTCCCCAAAAGGAAATACAAGTTCTAGAAACATCTTTTCACCATAAGCAATATCACCTTAGGAGACCCTTGCATGTAAGCCTGTGTCTTTGTGGACTTATCTCTACAGAGGCTGTGGCCTCTCTAAAGGCTAAGCCAGTGTCTCTAAGTATTATGAAAACTAAACGATTCCTAGTCAATATGACTGACCAAGGCTTGAATTGTGGATTCACAAGTAAAGTTTAGGAGGAAAACGAGGGTTTTCAGTCAAAATGGCAAAATAAGAACTTTTTTTTTTTACATTAGTCTCCTTTTGCAAACTTTCCCAAGACATTTATGAAATTATAAATCTAAAAAGAATACCCAGATCCTCACGTCACAAAAGATGAGAATACTAACCAGCGATAAATGTGGACTTTAAGGAGAGAGATTTTGCAGCGCTGACACATATCACCTCCAACCTCAGGTAGGAATCAGGCTGCATTACAGGTAACCGTCATCATCCTGAAAGAGCTGGTGAGCAAACCCTGGGTTGCCACCGAATATCAGATGAGCAAAGATCATTTCCATAGAAACACAGCTTAGCAGAAAAAGTAAAAGTAATGAAAAACTTGGAACTATTCTATCTGTATCATCTACAACTAGCAGCCTAGGCTAGGGAGGCTGCCATCAATGTGGGCGGAAATCCTAGTGACTATGACAACGGAGAGATATGCTTACAACACAGAGAAACTTATGAAGGGCCTTGGTTTGAACTCCAGGCATCTCTTAAATAGCAAAAGCCGAAGGGAGATAGAGCCCTAACGTAGAAGAAATATTTTGATAAGAAGGTATTTGAGATCACATGTCTATAGCAAAGCTACTGATCCAATGCCAGCTATACCTCCTGTGTTGAAACAAAAATACTTGTTATGACTCTTTATCCTCTGTCTTTGTAACTCACACCCAATGATGACGGTTGTATGGAAATAAGGTGTAGAAAGCTCTAACTTGGAGATTGGCCATTTGCCATTCTGTTGACCGTAAGGGGGCCATCTCAGAAGCAGAAACGGAGAGTCTCGGGACCGTCAAGAAAGGAGAGCCACCAGGAAGCGCCTGCAGGGTCCCTGAGGGAAGTGGTGATGGTGGCAGCAGAGGACCCAGAGGCAGGAGCCACTCAAGGATAAGACAGAACAAACCACAGAACCAGTGAATCTGAGCACCTTCAGGCAGGAGACTGATTTTCAGACTTCGGTGCCCTTGGAGGTTTTATCAGTGCTCAATGAACTTTGTGAACTGGCCCAACTGACCCACATGACTGAGAGGCCAAGGACCAGAAAGACTCCTGTCTGCTGGCCTGGCTAAGAAGAGAGGGACTGTGGACAAAAGAACTATATCCTTCATGTTTTCTGATCCTGATGTGTGGCAACCTGTTAGCTTCCTCACTAACCCCCATAAACAGTGATTATTATCGTGAGCTCTCTGTGGCCATATCACCGGTAACTGAACCCAGGAGAGAAGCAGAGTGCTGTGAGAAGGATGGCGAGTGTCAGGACAAAGAAGGGTGAGGATGACGTCATGCCTGTTCTCTGCTTCATGGGAGTCATCCTTGAGCAGATGAGGAGTGGGATTCTTTTGGCTCCTTGTCTATAGCCTGCAGAGGTCAGATGTGTTCGCACACCAATTCTTTGGCTCCTCTCCAATTAAATTGGTAGTGCCATTCAAGAAGGTTAGTAACCCGAAAGAAGTGGCTCAGGACATACATGGAGAAACTGCAAGGGAAGAGGACGAGACTACGTACCCGCAAACTGTAGATAAATCTCCAATAGAAGAGGAACGACTCAAAAAGGGGGAAAAAAAGTAGAAGAATTCTGGGAAATATCTCTGCAAACTCTCAACGAAATGAAGACAATACGACTGCTTACAAAAAGAGTGCAACCAAGAAGACAATAGAACGTGCAGATAAGCAATCTGGATGTGTTGAAAACAGCAAAGGAAAAGAAAAATAAATATGGCATAGAAGCAACAACCAGAAATAGAAGTGTAAAGAAAACCAAAATCCTTGCTGGATCCATAGGTAACATCATGGTAAGTGGAAAAAAGTCCGAGATTGTCAAGGATTTTATCTTGTTTGGATCCAAAATCAATGCTCATGGAAGCAGCAGTCAGAGAACTCATTGCATTGGGTAAACCTGCTGCACAAGATTTTTGTAAAGGGTTGAAAAGCGAGGGTGTTACTTGGAGGACTAAGGTATGCCAGTCACAAGCCATGGTGTTTTCTTTTTATTTATTTAATTAAATGAATCATTATATTGGGGACTCTTACATATATTATAACAAAGTATACATCCATTATCTCAAGTGGATATATATACAATTATAGGCATCAACAATTTCTAAACACTATCTTTCTTCTTGAGCCCTTTGATATCAGCTCCTCTTTTTTTCCTCCCTCGCCCACCATACTACCCTCATAAATCCTTAATATGTTATATATTGTTATTATTATTTATACATATCTTACACCACCCATTCTATCCCTTCACCTACTATCCTGGTATTCTTCCCCGTGAGGGGGGGGTGATTCTATCATCATTGCTGCCCATTCCCCCTTCCCTCCTTTCCTCCTCCTTCCCTTCCCCTTTCTGCCTGGAATCATTGCTCCCATTACTGTTTCTGAGAGGGTTTGTCTTTCCTGAATTCTGTATATTGAAAACTCTTGTCTGCACCACTCTCTGAACACTGGTCTAGTGGGAATTGCGAGATTGGACTGAGATCATAATAGCGTGGGGAGGAAGGATTAAAGAATCGGATGAGTATTGTATATTTCATGGGTGCTAAACTGCCCCTTGGAAGCATTTCTCCTCCATGCAGCCCCATAGATGCATTCTGTGTGCATCTCTAGTTTGACCCCTCTCCATCACTTGATGAGGTTGTTTATTTTTGGAATTCTGATGTCTGATCCCACTGACACCTCATGATCACATTCCTGGTGTGCTTCTTCCATGTGGGCTTTATTGCTTCCCTGCTAGATGGCTGTTTGTTTGGCTATGAGCTTTTAAGACCCCAGACGCTATACCTTTTAATAACCAGGCATCATCTGCCTTTGTCACCACATTTGCTTACGCACCCAGTTTGCCTTCAGCGATCATGTCAAAGTGGTGGGCATTGCCCAAGGCTACATTATTATAACAAAGTGTTCTTGTGTTGAAGGAATACCTAAGTAGAGGCCCAGAGTCCATCAACTGCCTCAATGGATAGCCATATAAATATATGTACATAGGTCAATACCCCTATCGCTATGCATTAATATATTTACATATGTACACCTCTATATTATACCTCTATAGATAGTTTTGCTTCCTCATTCTTTCCTCTATTTCATTTTACCTTCCTCCTGTCTCACTATCCTATTCACCCCTCCTTTGCCTCTCAGTAATTCTTCTAGCTAGATTACGGCTGCTCCACCACTACCGGGATCTCTACTCCCTGCTTGCCATTATTTTAGATCCCTAGTTATTCCTCTGTCCATGACCTTGTTTACTTGTAGCTCCCTTCCCCCAGGCTTCTCCCCCAAGGACCGCCCCTGCCCGCCACCCAACCATCAGTCCTGTTGCTTTCTCCTCAGGCTTGCTTCTCATACCTGTCTTACAGAGATAGACAAAACAGACCCAATGAAGACTAAACACCATCCAACCAACAGCAACAAAGCGAGAAAGAAAAAAATATATACATAGTTCCCTATTGTTGACTTTTTTCACCATCTCCCCACCAGTCCAGCGGGACTCCGAGTCTGACGTCTATTTTTAGTACTCCTCCAGTGGCTTAGCTCCCATTGTTGGCCTCTTATGTTCCATTTTTGTTCCGCCCTTTGGCAGGGTGTGGGGAGG